ATCAAAGTAGCAGAAAGTCGAGGGGTGGGGAAGAGAAGAGGGATTCACAGATGTTAAAGAGGCAGACAGACAAATGTAGAGAAAAAGGTAAGGTGAGTACTGTGGAAGGGGTCGCAAGTGGTGAGTACTGTGAAAGGGGTCGAATATAACAACCAGGGGGGCCGTGGTAGTTGGAAGTCAGAATTCAAATGCCATACAATGGGGTGATGGTAGTTTGAAGTCAGAAGTCAATAGCCATATTAATAGACTTTTTGCCGTATGAGTATACGTTGCCCAGGGCGTAGGTAATAGACTTTTTTGCCATATGAGTATACGTTGCCCAGGGCGCACAAATAGATTTTGCCGTATGAGTATACGTTACCCAGGGTAGACTTTTTGCCGTATGAGTATACGTTGCCCAGGGTGCTCCACGTGGAGGTAAGTCTATCGCACACCCCATTAATTAATTATAGTATCCTATGAATAGCTCGGAGTTAACATGGCCACTGGTTTTCCATGCTCATTTAACTATAATTATGCCTGGTCTCAGTAATAAACGAGATCTCTTCGTACTGTTCCGGTAGTGGTACCTGTTTGCTGCAAGCACGACACAATTTCCTACCTATTCCTAAATCGTTCCTTCAGTGGAACTTTTTTTAACTTTCCTTCTCTTAAAACACAGCATCCCGTCTTTTTTTTCTTGGCCTGCACTTTAGTTGCATTGTTTTTATAATTTTTTGTTAAGTTGTTTCCTCTTTAAAGGTGCTTTTTAAAAGCTGTTCTTCTTAGCTTGTTTCGTCTTCATAAGAGGTGGCAATAGGGCATTGATTGTGTGCAGTTATTTAACATTTTCTCTACTTCCCCATTTTGGAAATATCCGAGTTTAGTTCGCCTCACGCCTGAGGGATAGATTTGGTGAACAGCCCATTGAAGGCAATTTGTGAATCCTGTGGTTACAGGCATAAGGTAATAATACTCGACACTATATTGAATGCTCTTCCATAGCTTCCTATTCTACAGGTCACTTGATAGAGCCATGCGTTTACTATTAAACTTCAAACTCTACTACTCCTACTTTTGATGCACTTTTGTTTGCAATAGTACGATTTACTGAGCCTCCGAACAAATCGGTCCTTTTTTCATACCTAAGTGTGGTAGGTGCCCTGTATGTCACTGAACGCCAAGTCACCAACTCCAGTGAAGTCATGACACAGGCATATTTTGTTCTTGAATGTTATTATTTACCGGTGCTATTTCTTCTATCCCCCTTTTTTCCATCTTCTGTCTTTTGTTGCTTATTTTATTCAATATCTGCTGCTGCTGTTGCTGCTGCTGCATCTTGGTGGTTTGACTATTGTTACGTCAAAAGGAAGGAAACTTAGCAACATTTGACACATTGAATGTGGTTTCTGGTAACTTTTGTTTATTGTAGAGGCCTTGCTATGTATAACTACAGATGTGGGTATTTAGAAATCTCTTTCGATTAATTGCTAATTACTAACTAATCCCAACCCTCTAGGGGTGTTCTGTGCACTGGGGAAGTTCGAACTCGCATAACCGCCTAACTCGTAGACTTGTGCATTCAGTGCTGTCACTGGGGTGTGTGTGCGCATGGTGTATGGTGTATACACGTCACTCCTATACCTGGATATTAGCAAACTATCTATTAATAGTCACTAATGTTAAGAAGTCCCGATGTCTAGTAGTTTTTTATTATTTCTGTGGTTCATCTGCGCATTATCCTGCTGCTGTTCTTCTTCTTGAATGCAATATTCTTTTGCATATGGCAATTTTCGACCAATATTGCCGAACTCCTGAAAAGGGTGTCTTTGAAAGTTGCCTTGCATGTAACAAACAACAGCAATAATTTGTCCACATTCATTTCCTGCTAGATTCCTTTTCATTTTTTTTGGGGGGGGGTTACAAACTGGAATTTATTGATTAATAGAATAACACAGAGGGGGGATAATTTACATTGCCAGTACATTTGTTTTCGAATAATTGTAGCAGTACTGGTGGAAGCAGGTGGTATATCGGAGTTTGACGCATTCAGGTACACCAGCGATAATATGACGACAGAATCTGCACCACAAGGTGTGTGTCCAGTTATTATTGCCATTAATCGTTTTACTCTCTGTGTGTGTGTGTACACTTAACCAACGCGATCGGCACACATTCCGCTTGATGGATGTGCACTATATGATGTGATCGTTGAATCCGTAATCTCTCTCTCTCCCACTTCTCATGCTGCAATCACATGTTGGCCTCTGGGCTATTAATATGCTTGCTATTAACTCTATTCCATTCTCTTCGTCGATTTGGGGGGGGGGTGTTCGGATACAAGTTGTCACCACTAATTTTGCGCGGGTTTGTTCATTGTCTCTACCTCTCCAGGTTGCATACCTTCGGCTTCCCAGGTCCCAGGTTAGACTATAGTTATCATAGCCTTGATGTAGCTCTCGAATTATTATTATCATCACCTTTCTAAGACAATTAGCACACACGCCCATTTCTGCAGTGCGGGCTATAGTTCTCACTGCTTTTTATTCATCCGAGAATTTCTAGAGAAAGTTTGGTGGTCGGTGCAGCGCAACACACACATCCCCACACAGACGTCCGCCATCCGGACCTGTGTCGGCCTGGAGCAAAATATGTTCATTGTGCTCTCAATTCTAGACCTCCCTCCCGCGTGTTCAACCTTTTCACTTGAAATGGGTCTGCCTGTTTGTCACATTGTCTTGCTGTAGGCGCGAGATTCGCTACAAAAGCCGGCATTTTTGTGCGTGCGTGTGTGTGTGTGTCTTCTCACCTATTACAAAATTTACCTCGTCGGTGAGATTTCCTACAGATTGGACAATCCACTTGAGAGACAAATTGCCACCACCACCACCACCAGGGGGGGGGGCAAATTAGAACGCTGGAGAAGACAGTTTTTATCAATTCTAAAATGAAGGCTCCATTAACCTGTACTAACACGAGATTCAAGCTCCATTTTGATGCTCCAAAGTATTTATCCCATTTAGTTGATATTCACGATTCTATTTTTATGGAGTACCTATTTAATTTCTCGAAAAATCTTTTACCCTACACAACTATTGCAATTTTTAATGCTTTTATAGAATTCATCTTGAGCGTAACTTTAGTGCTCATCAATTTGCTTTTAAAACCACTACGGTCCAGTTAATGCAGCTTTGTTTGGGTTCAACACTTCCAGATCGTGGATAATGAAGACAGACCATTTCCCTATCCAAATGCATTCAGATACCTCCTCCAGATAAAGCGAATCTCAGAAGCTCTTTTTTGGTGGGGGGGGGGGGGGGGATTCTGTTTAAGTTTTTATTTTTCCAACAATTTAATTATGGTTCATGTCTTATATCTACCATTTGAATTTGTAGTTATGGAAATTGACACTTTCGAAATCGAGTGGCTAGCTAAGGATTCCTATTTTGATTAGACTTAGTAAAATTGGTAGGAATAGTACTTCATACTTACCAACTTCTCACATGTAGAGCTAATCGAATATTTTTCCTGAACGGTCAAACAGGCGACCTTTTGACATCCCCAAAACTTTCATCTACTTACTTCTTACCTCTTCTTAGTTATTCCAAGCCCATTTTACCAATGTCTCACTAACATTGTAGATTGAAAAGCAGAACAGTATGGAGGGCGTGAATCTCCCTACCCTGCTTATTCAACTTCGTCAGTGTCGAATGGGCATCATTCAGACGGCCCAACAACTCCGCTACTCCTACGCAGCTGTCGTGGAAGGTGGAAAGCTACTATTAGCCACACCTCCTGAGGAAAGGATTGATCTTGTGGTGAGTTTTCCTCCATTTTGGGGACCCCTTAGCGCCAATAACAAAGTGTTGTGGCTTGATCGTGTATGCTTGTAGCGCAGTGGTTAAAAGGTCGAAGACTATTAAAGCAGCAGCGGTCACGGTCAATTATGGAAATGATAGCTGACAAAATACATTTTTCTCATCATCAGATAGATTGGAGTCTACCTTCTTTGACTTCCAAGTGGGAGTTGGAAAATAATTCCTTTAATATTTACTTAGAATTGCCTTGGCTATTATATTCACTTTATTCCTCTTACTCTACTTATTACCATAAAAGTAGTTTAAATCTGATGTATTGTATCACCTCAAAATCCAAATGCACTTGGTTGTTCCAATTACCAGTTAAAAGGTTTTACTTAAAAGGCTTTTTACTTATCTTCTTGAATCTACAAGTATTACTTTCCTACTGAAAATATTGTACCTAGTCTGTTTCGACAGTATATCTTTTGGAGCCCTAGTTAAAGCAAGCGTTTCGCCTGCAAGTGCTTAGGCTAAGTAGATTAAGTAGGGGACAAAAAATCTGGGAAAATAACCCGCTTATTTAGCTTATGAGTGTGGGAGGGGTGGGGGGGGGGGGTTAATATAAAGGCAATAATTGGCGAACTAATTAGCGGCGGCGGCGACGAGATCCCATTGCATATAGGCAACCGATGGTGAATCACATAAGCCAGTGCAGTCGAAATTAAGTCCCTGTTATTTCGTTCAAGGTTTCTAGCACAAATCTAAGTCATTTCACCTTTTCTGTGGACGTGTTTTTCTTAATTATCCAATCGGACTGTGGACGGGGACATTTGGCGATATTGGAGGAAAACTATTTATTGGTTTTTGTTTTGTTTCAATATAAGGACTTCCCTTAATTTTCTGCAACAAACACGTAAACTGATTGTTCTGTTGTATCCTGTGTAATTATGTTGGTTAATCGAGGCAGATTTATAACGTAATCTAATTTCCATGTTTGGGCACCTTAAAAGAATCTCTAGTGGTGATTCACAGGGAAATCTAATTTCCAAGGTTGAAGTTATTAGAGAGAGAAGGCGCGCGTAAGTCAAATGTTTTTTATAAATAAGCTCATCCTCAATTTTCCACTCATTTAAATCAAATTATTGGACATTGGTGGCGCCATGGCCTCGAAACTTATTGGCTCTGAACTTTCTTTAAGGAAAGGTTTCATGAAGTCACTCTCAACCCAATGGATAAATGCTTAATCCTACCTCTCTTGAACTTATTTGGCAGGCTTTTTGTTCGTTATCATTAGCACTTTAGTTGACTTGGTGCTTCACAGAGGGGGGAGAAACATCAAAGTCACAAAAATTGGAGAGGGGGGAACAGAAGAGTGATTCAAAGTTGTCAAGGCGACAGACATAAAGGTAGAGGAAAAGGTAAGGTGAGGTGAGTACTGTGAAAGTTGTGGAATATGACATACAGTGGATGTCATGGTAATTTGACATCAAAAGTCAACTGCCAGTTAATAGACTTTTTTGGCCGTATGAGTATACGTTACCCAGGGTGCACCACGTGGGGATAAGTCTATCGCACACCCCATGAATAAATACATTAGAGTAGAGTATTGTTCTGTTTAAATGTAAGAAAACGGCATTTCTCTCATGACATGGTCAGAAGTGCGCTAATTGCACTAAAATACCGCAGACATAGACACTATGGGACGAAATAAAAAATTTTGTTCGGAGAACAAAGAAATGGTCTTATTTCTCTACTCATCCTTATCATAGGATGGTATGATCAGCGCTTATATTACATTTTTTAAAGAGCCTAAATTTGAAACATGTTCAAATCATAGAAGCCATGTAGAGGAGTCATTTAACGGAGATTGAAGGTTACCACTTGCTGACGACCCATGAAGTGGGTGAAATGAGATCCCCTCACATGTAGAACTCACCTTGGGTTCCAAAAAATTTTGCAACAACAAAAATTGATCCAAAGAGTTGAACTTTCTTAGCAAATTTGATAGAGGTGGGAGCAATGGAGGATAACTTTTTAAGCACTGTGTGTTACCAGATATGAAACCTGGATCTGTCAATTTGATACAGAAAAGACTAAGGACACATCTGGAAGGTCCGTTAAGAAGGTCATGGCCACTATTTTGTGGGATTTAAAAGAAGTGCTGTTGATAGGCTTTCTAGATAGGCAGAAAACCTTCACTTCCAGTTAATTACCAAGACGTTTTGAAGAATTCGAAGGCATCCCTTGCCAAAAAGGCCAGAATAAGCGGCATGGGGAGCTACGTAGGCAAATTCTGTGTCATCATGACCATACCGCTGCACTTTCTTCAAGAGTTGTCACGGTCCTGTTGTGCGAGTTTCGACGAGAAACACTTCCACTTCCAAACCTTATAGTCCAGACCTAGCCCCTCTCAGATTTTCTTGCTTTAAAACTGAAAAAGAACGCCATAACGACCCCTCCATTCGCGTCTTTAGATGAAGGTAAAAAAAGGTATGTGATTTCATGGAGCCGGAGACAGCCCCCACAATTCTACCATGAGGTAATTTACAGGTAGTAATATAAATTACAAAAGTGTATAGAGACCAATGGAGCTTCTAAATAGATTATGGAATTTGTCTGTGAACTTTTTGACTCGTTTTCGTTTAAGAAACTGTATTAACTATATGGCGTTGCAGAAGAGTGGGTGGGGGGGGGGGGGGGGGGGGGCAAATATGGTGGGTGCTCTATGACTGAAGGAGATAAAAATCAGGAAAAAGTACCCACACCTATGCTCAAATACGTCTGCATCCAACGTCAGATAGGTGTGAGTAAGGAAATTCAATAAAGCCTTTTCATTCCTAATTGTATTAGACAAGTAATGCCGCGAATGCAGGATGAAAAGAATGCACGTGTCGAGTAGCCTTACGTGAACTCGCTTCTCAGGTCATTCAAGACTTTATATTGCGGAGCCTGTGGCCCTGAGATTCGAAGCTCATTGGCAGTCTTGACATCGATCTCTGAGTACGCACTTTGTTTGTAATAGTCCATTTCCCCCAATGAATGCCTGCGGCAAGGTGCTTTCGTTAGGATTTAAATAACTTGAGAGAGGAGATCCTTAGAGCAATAGCGCTCCTCCATAATCTTAAGTCTACTTCCTAATTGAAACTACTAATCAGCTTTACTTGAAGCAATTTGCGGATGTATTCAATTCCAGACATTTATCAGCTACTCTCTATTTCATTCCCTCTCCAAATTATTATCCTTGGCGCAGATTACCCTCATATTGGGGGGGGGGGGGGGGGGGGGGGGTGTGGANCGATTGCACCCGCCCCCCACCCCACCTCCTCCTCAATTTCATTTATTATAGTAATATTTTCAATAAGAAAAAGAAAGAGGAAACACGATGAAGGTCTATGTATCGTATGGGAGGGGGGGGGGGTGTTGGGCGTGGTGCTGTATTATGTGGGAAAGAGTGAAGCAGAATTTGATGGGAATTTTTCATTCGCAGATTTGAATTAAGTATCGTTGTGTCTATTTCATGCACTATTTAATTTTCAACAATGCTTTGTTTTAATTCAAATCACAGTTTCAGATTTGAGAAAACGGTCAATTCTGATTGCCAAACGAAGTAGTATGTTACCGGAACACTCGAAAGTACTGACCTTCAGTGAGGGTTCAGTAATTATACTAAATGTTATGGAGAAGGGAAATGATGGTTTGGGTAACCATTCAGTCAGATCTTTTCCCCGCTCGTGGAAAATATGGAATATACTCGCATTGCTTAGCACTCTTGATAGTCGAGTGAGCTAAGGCAAACTGCTCTGATTTTGTGTCCATTTCTTTTCGGACTTCAAGTGTGTTTACTTTGGAATTGTAAACTGTTTTTTTTCAATAGTTGTTTGTTTCTAATTCAACTGTATCGCTCCTTTCTGTCACGGCTAAGAAGTCTGTATTTACTGCCGTAAACATGGCAGCATTTCTTGCGTTAATAAAATGCCTATGGTCAAGGAAACTCATCTCCCACCACCCCTCAACCCCCCCCCNCATCATTCAGAAACTAGGATCGTGATCAATAAGGTCATGCGGCATGATTTATAGCTTGGAATTAGTCACATCTTCAAGTAAATGCTTAATGCTATGTTACGATTCCTACGCCGACGCCTTTATAGCATCACCTTTACTTTCTCTCTCTCTCTCTCCGTCTCCCAAACTCTTCCATATTCCTGTTTGAAATGGCTTCTCATATCTCCTGCCCCCTCCACCCCCCCCCCTCTTCCTTTGACTTTAGTACAATGCGTTTCCGAGGCGACTGCAATGCCAAGGCCTCTACTATTGTATTTTAATTTTACATTCATTCATAATGAAATTTAAGCAACACTCCACTACATCCAAGGACCCCCCTCGCTAGCAAATCAACCAAGGTCTTCTTCGTTCTAGCTTCGCGAGAATCAACAACCCAAAAGGCAGATGGAGGCACATTGGTGTTGCAGTATCTTTATTAGGCAGAAAGCAAACGACTAAATGCCAGGAGACTAAGATGACGGAGGGAGATGGATGCTCAGCTTAGAAACTAAGGTGAAGAGGGCAAACTGCAAACTTCCAGCTTCATTGCAATAGAGACGGTCTTGTTTTGCCTGTATTTCTTACATCCACATACACACACACACGCACACACACACACACCATTCAAGGCTCTTTGATGAGGTAGGCGCATCCTAGTTACGTAATGTGCGGTTTCCAATGCCTCTCTCCCCCCCCCCCTCCTGCTTATTGGCAAATCATGTTTTGCGCATAAACACAGGCGTCTCATCTCGAATCGCGCGCTTTTTGTTGAAAAGTGCATAGGAGTGGTAACTGACTTGTGGAAATATACAAAAAGACCATTTATAGCAGACCTCAAACGAAACTTGGACTGGTATTTGTATCCTCAGTATCCACTCTGTTTTTTTGCAGTTGTTCATCTGCTTTAGTTTGTAGAAGTCAAGATGGCTAGACTTAATTCATGAGTGTTAGTTCAACTTTCTAACTTTATCCACTGCCCATGAATCTCAAGTTCTGTGAAGACAGCATTTATTGATTTGGAAATCGGTCGTTTTGCCTCTGCCATATTGTGAATGGTTTATTTTACGTCCGTCGTACAAATTTCCCGCCCATTGTGAAGGTGAATGTTGGCCAACTGGGAGAATGCTAGATAACTATTAATTAACGGTGGGCTTAGTAGAAATTGCCTTCTTATAACTGTGTATATTTGACATCCCTTAAAATCGTTCCGTTATTTAACACACACCCCGAGGCAGTGCGCGGGAGAAACCAACTGTCATAGTGCAACCTCAGCGATTATACTAGTAGTAACGCCATTCTCTAAAACTCTCTCTCTCCCTATTTCTTCCACCCAATCGAGGCAGACTTGATCACTACTCCTATAACTGATTCTTCAATCACTATTGCCCATGATTTGAAACGCGCCTTGTTTCATTTTAATTTGCTTCAACGCCACGATTGCCTTTTCTTGAAGTCGAAGGCGTTATTACTCACGCTGTTCCCCGAAAAAGTCCTCCAGCATCGTCGTCAGCTGCTCTACACTGTTTTTTTGCCAAATCCACTTTGTTTGTTTTCTTAAGGAAAGCGCCAAGGCTATTCTCCTCCTCCTCATCATCGTGTAAATGTAGAATTCTTATGTGTCATTGATAGTTGGGTCTGGCTCACAAAATAGGGGGGGGGGCTCGCTGTGTTTGCGATCTACGTCTAGTTTGCGTTTCCAGGTTGGGGGGGGGGGGGGGG